GACAGCTGTTAAGGCAGCCAACAAATAATGATTATTTTCTGATCGTTTACATTTCTAAAATAAGGTCTCCAAATTTTTACTTGACAACCTCTAAACGCGGTCCGATACCCTACAAATTACCCATTTCCATTAAAGTGGATGTTACACTCAAAAATCTAATTGTACCAATGCATCCCACTAGACATAATAGGGATCCGCCGAAACATAGCAGTCAAAATGTTTACTTTTGGCATAGTGCCATTTTCCTGCCGATACATCGTCACATCTATTCTTCCTTTCCTCCCCGCTGGGCGCTGCTCGGTGTCCCAGCAGGGAAGAGAGAAAGTGTCACAGGCGGGAGAGTGCTTGTGAGCAGCCGGCGTCTCTCCTCCCACACCGCTCAGCCTCCTATCACAGTCCGGCAGAGCGGTGTGGGGGGCGGAGACAGCCCTGTCACAGGAGGCCGAGCTCTCCTCCCTACACCGCTCAATCAGCCTCCTGTGACAGCGTGTCAGAGAGAGGAGAGCAAGGTACAGAAACTCAGCAATCGCTGAGTGTTTGTACATAATTGAGGACATGGTATGTGTACTATAGCCTCAGTGATGAATGGGAAGTGATGAATGGGAAGTGATGAATGGGAAGTGATGAATGGGAAGTGATGAATGGGAAGTGATGAATGGGAAGTGATGAATGGGAAGTGATCTACATCCCCTCCTGTTCATTCATAGTTGTAGTTATAGCAAACACACAATGTCCTCATGTTATCAATGAACAGCAACACTCAGTATAGAGCAGAGGTAGCAAACCTCTGGCCCTCCAGCTGTGGTGAAACTACAAATCCCATGATGCATCTCTTTGGGAGTCATGTCTGTAGCTGTGAGAATCTTGCAATGCCTCATGGGATTTGTAGTTTTACCACAGCTGGAGGGCCGGAGGTTTGCTACCCCTGCTCTATACTGAGTGTTCCTGTTCATTGATAACAGGAGATACAGAAAAAGATTGCATAAGGATTCTGTGTTCTCAATTTCTATTTTAAAAATGGAAATATCAGGGGTCGGTTTAGACCCCTAATATTTCCCCGAAGCCCCTAAAAGTAAAAAAAAAAAGTTGATCAAAAATAAAATTAAAATAAAAACATTTTTGGTTTCGGCCTGACAATTTATTTCGGTTCACCTCTAATGTATGATGATTACTAATAACAGACATGTCAGGTATAAAATGCTGTGATTGCTCCATCAGCAGAACATTGCCGGGAAATCTCATGAGATCTCAGGGAAAGGCATTTTGCTCTGCTGAAATGATGTGCATGGTCACATGTCCTGGTCACATGTGCTAGAAATCAAGGAAGTAAGAAGGAGAGCTAGTAATCTGCCCTTAGTAAACATGGCCACTGTCAGAAGAAAAGAGAAATAAGGTATTAAGGATGCAAGGGTGCCAATACTCGTACTCCGATACAGGAACATCCGGTTGCTAGGGAGCCGGTTTCCTTTCCAATCAGGAAGCAGGGCGGTGGGTATAACCCACCTCTTGGCTTTCGGATTGGTTAGGCCTAGCAACAAGTGAAGCCTGCTTCCCAGCCAATCAGGAAGTCTGGGGGCACGTAATGACCAGCTCTGGTTGGTTAGGTAGCCAGCTTCCCAATTGCCCGTGAAGCCATTGTGCTAGCAGAGGTGCCCTCGAGCTTGCCGATTAGTCAGGAAGCCAAGCTGACTAGCAACAAGTGAAGCAGACTTCCTAGCTAATCAGGAAGCCGAACGGGCACCTCATGACCCGCCGCCCAGCTTCCTGATTGGTCAGGAAGCCAGTGTTCTTGCGCTAGAACACCGGCTTCACTTGCCGAGGCTGTCTGGCGTCCTGATCTATCAGGAAGCTGGGCGGCGAGTCATGAGGTGCCCAATATCCCTGATGGCTAGGAATCCACCTTCACTTGTTGCTAGGCAGTCTGGCTTCCTGACCAAATCAAGAAGACAGAGGGCCAGAGCTTACCACACATCCCGTACAGCCCAGCTCCCCCCCCCCCCCCCCACCCCACCCCAACCCCCCCCCAACCCACACGG